ATTTTCCATAATTCAGCTACGCAGATTTCGAAAATAATATTACTTTTTTTTTCTATCACGTAAGGATATTTTACAAACCGGGAAGTAAAAGAAAACTCTTACTTAGATCAAATTATTAGTTCGTTTACCACAATGAACATTTTTTATTCGTATGTTTGTTAACAAAAATACACAAACTGAAGAAATGAAAAGAACATTGATGTCAAACAAATATGCATCCTCATTCATCCTGATTTTTTTTAGTGAAATCTACGTCTTTTAGTCTCAAAACTACGTGTTGTGGTCTTTCTTTTGTGTATTGCGTTATGACGTTTTGTGAAAAATCTGTATGTGATGGAGAAAAATGGATATCATTTTCGGATTCAGCGTACAGGAATTCGAAAATGATCATGTGAAGATTTCAAGACAATAAAACAATCGCAGGTCTGTGTTATTAAAACCAAAAGGTTGAAATGTGCATCAACTCACAAACAGTGGAAAGATAAAAGCTTTAGACCTGTGTGCTCTTTACATATGAATCTAAATTCTAATTGTTCGACAACAACCAACGGCAGTTTGTTCAACGGTGAAGAGAATGGTATCATATTTATTCACATCCTACACATTAAATCATGGTAAGGGATCAATACAAGTTTGGGGCTCTTTCTCAGCCAAAGGTGTTGGTAATCCACATACATTTGATGTCACTTTGATTGCTGACACCTACAGCAAATTCTGATCTATTATGCCATTCTCCCAAGCACAGGACTAATGGAACGGAGCATTTTAACGGAAATTAAGTAAGTAAATGGACACTCAGAGCTCTCTCAGGGCCTCCACGAAGTCCATTGAATTTGTATAAACTTATGTTAAGCACAAAAAGATCAAAGACGATAAGTAACTTGGTTTAACTGTGGAAAGAAGTACAGGACACTTGGAACAGTTTTCCACAATCAACACTGATAGATTGAGTGTTACCATGTAAGTTAGCTGTAATGCTTAGTGTGAAGAAAATATAGAATATCAAGAGATTGGACAACGTATCCGCTTTTCTTTTGTATTTTCTGTGATAATATTTTGTACTTTTAACAAATTCGACATAAGTTGTTGATTGTGTCTTTACTATATGTGTTTGTATGTTTCTATAACTATTTCTGTTATTCTACCGGACCTAGTATGATTTGGCGGTTTGGGCACTCGACCCATAATCTACGGATCGCGGGATCGAAACTCGTCGCTGAATGTGCTCGCCCTTTCAGCCGCGGAGGTGTTATAATGTGTCGATTAATCCCACTATTTATTAGAAAAGAGTGGGTGATGTTGGCTAGTTGCCTTCCCTCTGGTCATTTACTGCTAAATTAGGAACGGCTAGCCCAGATAGCCCTCTAGTAGCTTTGTGCAAAATTCAACAAAACGAACAACGTTTATGTGCCTATAGAAACAATGGAGTTAGTTGGTGCAATAAAACTGTTTGCATGTCTTGATATTTTAAAACATATAAAATCCCATTTCTATTAATTAGTTAAAAGTCAATACAATAAAGTAGATGTAATTGTTTACGTGACTGCATTACTAACAAAGATTTGGAACTTAATGTAATAATTTTTGAACTTATCAGTTTGCTTACATTCGTATATAGATATATCTTAGTTTCTTTTATGATCTAAGTGTACATAGTAAATGTTTGAAAAAGTCTAAATATAAAGTTTGCTTATTTTTAAATTTCGCACTAAATTTATCAGTTATAGACTAGAGGGAAGGCAGCTAGTCAACACCACACACAGGTCGAATCTTGGACTATTATTTTATCAACGAATAGTGGGATTAACCATCACATTATAGCGTCTCTACGGCTGAAAGGTTGAACATATCCGGTGTGAATAAATATAAAGAAAGAAGTGGATATTATCTGGTTTTGTTTGTTTTGAATTTATGCACAAAGCTACACAATGGGCTATCTGTGCTCTGCCCACCACGGGTATCGAAACCCGATTTCTAGCGTTGTAAGTCCGCAGACATACCGCTGTGCCACTGTGGGGCATTTTCTGGTCTATCAGTAATTTTAACTTCCTTTTCCAATATAGAACATGAAGAAAGTTTATAGAAAAAATGCACTTTCAAACTGTAACCATAATGAATGTGATAATAAAAGAGAATGTTATATAGTTAGTGCTTACTTTTTTAATAAATTGAAACATTATATATATGTGTGTGTTCTTCTAGTTTCATATATATATCTAAATTTCAAAATATATTAATAGAAGAAAATATACAAATAATTTGTTGTTGGAACATTTTGTTTTCTTCATTGGAAAATATGATAAATAACAGGATTGAGGAAAACAAGATATTGTACGTTTCACAAATACATCATTTATTACGACCATGGTTTCGCTAATAAAAACATCATCACGGTCGTAATAAGCGATGTACTTGTGAAAAGTACAATTGTCTTGTTTTTCCTCAATTCTATAATTATAGAGTTTCACCAAGAACCGACGGTTTTATGTATCAATTATATGATAAATAACGCTGTATTAAACGGCGATGGTGTTTTTTATTGTTGGTTCTTTGCTTGCTTTTACGATATGAAACGTCGAATGATATTTTTATTCCCACCGTAATTGACTTACATTGACAAAAAAAAAGAAAGATAAAGTGAAATGACATTTTTTATCTTACGAGTAGAAGCTAAAATTATATAAATAAATCATTTTTTAAACTCAAGGCCAAGTAACACATTAAAACACGTCTATTACTTACAACTTTCAATCTTCATAGCACAAGTCTGGGTGTCATGAGGATACGTTTCAAAAGTCATAGCACAAGATAAAAGAAGAGTGAGTCTGAAATGAACATAAAATAAGATTATCTCGGTTACGTAAGTACAGTGAAAGTGTATCATTCACAACCTTAAATCATGTTTATTTGTTTTTCTGAAATTGATGAACAGTAGATAGATAGAAACGCTTTGAGTGATTATAGAGGAAGACTCATATCTGATGATTAGGTTATTGAATTCTGCTTTTTTCTTCAGATTTTCCTAATAAAGATTTAAGCAATATTCCTCATCCTGAATAAATGATAGATGGAAACAAGATCGAACAAGATGATTCCATTAATTCTGTTTGTTTGTTTAGAATTGCGCGCAAAGCTACTCGAGGGCTATCTGCACTAACTGTTCCTAATTCAGCAGTGTAAGATTAGAGAGAAGGCAGCTAGTCATTACCACCCGCCGCTAACTCTGGGGCTACTCTTTTACCAACGAATAGTGAGATTATTATAACGCCCCCATGGCTGAAAGGGCGAGCATGTTTGGTGGGACGTAAATTCGAACTCGCGACTGCCAGATTGCGAGGCGAGCGCCATAACCATGCTGAGCCCCATTAATTCTGAGTTTGTTAAAAAAAAATGTACGTGTAAAGAACGATAAGCCTACTGGGCAAGATAATATTTTTCTAAAAGCTTGGAGGTTTTTTAAAATAGTTTTAGTTTAGTTTACTGTATGGGACACCCCAGATGAATCAGTAGGTCCCCTGTTGTCCCTAAATATTATGTTATGTTATTATATACCATAATGATGAATCTATTCAATACTAGTTATAAGACAGGGAAACTTATTGGATAGTTTGTGTGTTAATACAATAACAAGCATCTCTGTTGGCTATCGTAAACAGAATATTGTGTGTGGAGGGATTCAGTAGAAATTTGACATTTAATGTTTGTTTTCGGATATTCGAGCAAAGTTACTCAAAGGCTATCCGCGCTAGCCGTTTCTAATTTGGAAATAATAGACTAAAGAGAAGACAGACTGTTAATAACACCCACCTCCAACCCTTAGATTAATCTGGTTTGACCGAATAGTGGGTTTGACCATCACCCTTATAACAAACCCATAGTCTCAAAGTGCGGAGCACGGCCATTATTATTTTTTTCGGTAACACGGAACGCGAACTTTGGACTCACAGGTCCGTAGTCTGACACAGTAACCACTGAGTCACGCTCAATTATATATTTGAGGATATCAAAATATTTGCAAGTTAATTAGTACAATATTAGTTTAACTTTTGAATTTTTTTTAATTATTCCCAACAAATATCCACGTGGTTCAGCGGTAAGCTTGCGAGCATACAACGCTAAAAATCAAGGTTCAGTATTGGCGGTAGATACAATAATGATAGCCCATTGTATGGGTTTGGGCTTAACAACATCCAAACAGAATCCGCAGCAAGAATTTCTGTACATTTGTCTTAAGCAATTGATACCTCCTGTAACTATGTTATTGTTGGTATACAATGACGCTGGATTCGTTAAACAGGGAGTTTCATACTGCTTGCGTGGTGAAAAAAAAAGACTACTTTAGCATGTACGCAACTAAGGAATATTAATACTTTGGAAAAAGTAAGTCCCTCGATGGGACATCGGTAAATCTATGGACTTGCAACGCTAAAATCTAGGGTTCGATTCCCCACGGGGAACACAGCAAACAAACGGAAAAATAAACAAAAAATAGACGAATGTAACAGAGTATTAAAGCGTGATAATCAACTTATGAGCCAGTATTTAAAATCAACCCAGTGTTTGGTATATGCCAGATTTGATGAGAAGTTATAAGCGTGCGCACACTCATACACGTACTTCTTCCAAATTCCTACTATATAACTGACACAGACGTTTGTCAAATAATTGTATATTTTTAACTACGACGATATTATAAACAGTTAGAAAACTACTTACTTCACCATATACAGAATAGTTTTATCACTATATAACCAGATGTAATGATTGGGGATGGTCATTTCTTGGAAAGTGACCTTTTTGGCGTTCTTGAAGAACGAGTCTGGTCTCCACATTTGCTTTAACCAACTTACAGGCAGAAGACGGTAATATGTTGTCATGTTTTCAGGGAGTTTCAGCCGGTAGTCCTTCCAACTTTGGGACATAAAAATATCTGCTACGTAGGTCTGGAGAAATAAATAAGTACTGTTGCAATAAAGATACTTATTTGACCGCAAATGTTTTGCGAATCTCTGCATATTTTTTAAATTCTGTTTTGAGACAAACTGAAATGCATTGCATGATTCTACAATATAAAACTTTATTGGTCATTTTTGTAATTATGTAACTTAAATGTGGCCAACTAGCGTGATTGCATAGTTGTGATATATTTTGATTGTTCCCTTGACAAGAATAAAACACTAGAATTCAAGAAAACCATGCAGAAACGGCAAACAATAAGCTAGGCTATAAAATCATGCAAACTATTGAGAACTAGTGAGAACTTATAACATGAGATAGTAAGTTAAGAGATTCAGCTTGTATATTAAGATAAGTGAGCTAATACTTATATTATACTTTGCTATCCTTTTTTTTTCATTTCCATTCTGTCCCTGATGAAGGAAGGCTTTTTTCTGTTTAATAAACTCTCGAGGTATTTATTTTTTTGATTGGAATGTTTGAAATCCTACGTGATGTTCATTAAACAAGGATGTTTTAGTGCTCAGACATTACAATTGTTATGTGTGATATTTAACACATGGTCTGTATTCCCATAATTATGTTACAAGTTAAGATCCTAAAGAGTAAGAACGAATCGTTTTTGTTTATTTTCGAATCATGATTAGGTTAGCATAAAATTGTCCATTCTTTAATACCTGAAAGAAAAGCAATTTGTAGAAAATGATTTGGCTGGATCTAGAATATTCTATGAAATTAAGCTTTCTGTATTATTGTTATATCATAAAGTTTTATTTCTTAATAAGCTTGGGAACAATCTGTTTTCCCAAAGGATTCCGAGAGAGCCAACTTTACAAGAGTATTATATATATATCGCATTAAAAAATGAACTTGGAAATTAAGGGCTACAACTGTAATCTTCTAGAAACAGAGAAGAAAAAACAACACTTATCTTCCCTTGGTCGTCCCGCCACCACTACTCTTGGCACATTTTTATAAAGTAATTACTTATAGAAGAGTCGGACAATATAGTGTATTGTATTAAGAGAAAGGTTGCAAATGATAAAGTTCACAACATTTGAATTTATATTTATTCCGTCTATAAATACTAAATAATTTAATTACTTTTGGTTAAAAAAAACTTTTCTTGCAGATCTGTCAAAAATTCCTGTAAAAACATTTCGCTATCAGGTGTATATGACCAAATATTTTGTGTGTATTTGTTTTTGTTAGAATTATTATATACATATATTTTTCCGTTTCGAATAATTGATATTTCTATTAGAATATATTAGATTTGCTACAAAGCTAATCAATGGGCTACCTGTACTCTGTTCACTGTGTGGTAACGAAATCCGTATTTTAGCATTGTAATTCCGTAAACTTATTTGTTTGTTTGTAGTTAAGCACAAAGCTACACAATGGGATATCTGTGTTCTGCCCACCACGGATATCGAAACCCGGTTTCTAGCGTTGTCAATCCACAGACATACCGCTGTGCCACTGGGGGGCCCGTAAACTTATCGACGACCCAACGGGGGACAATATATTAGGTGTCACGAATTCGAAAAAAATTACATTTTTTGCAATACATTATTCCTTTGGCTCACAATTAAAGATTTTATTTTGAAACATGGGGATGAACGTAGAACTGGTAATAGCTGAGTCTGCATCACAGTAATAATATCGTATTCTAGATATACGTCACTAAGGTAAAACTATGTGTTGATATATAATCTCCAGCACATGTATAGTATTTATATTTATATCTTGTATTTATGGTCAAGCTACTAAAGTTATCTATCGCCGTCCCAAATTTTGAACTTTTGACCAGAGAGAAGACGGGTCAGTAGCACCCTACAACCATGTAAGGAGAATGACTGTTACTTTTATAAGTAACCTGCAGCTCTAACACAGAGCTCTAACACAAGGCCAACATTTCCCCTGACATAGAATTCACAACATGCATCAGTGTTTTCGGTTTCAGAGGCAACATTTGAAATGTTGTTTTCACTAAATTAGTCACAAAAAGTAAAAATAAATAGATAAATCTTTACACACTTTAAGCTATAAAAAATCAAGTCCGTGTCAATATCAGTTTTATCGTGCTTATCTTAACTCTATTATAATTACCATAATTCAATATAAAAACAGCACCTATACCTTAAAGAAAACACGGGCTATATTTTGTCCTTTTTGACTAGTGACTATTTGTTGCCGTTTAGAAAAACAGTGAACTTTACTTTGTTTATTTGTGTTGAAAAATAAGTAATAGGAAGATGATTATATTTAAGATGATATCGTTTATAGATAGTACTAAAGCAATGATTTACTGAAACGTTTTTAGTAAAGTTTTCAAACTCATTCAGTATTTTCTGCTGATACAGTAAATCAATTTTTTTCCTGGACACAGTTTGGAAAAATAAAAAACAACAACACGTTATTTATTGCTTGGAAACTCTCTAGCACAGCTGTATGTAGATCAGTTTTGTCTGAAGTTCGGATGCATATATAGATTAGTTTGTCTGTTGTTCAGGTGTACGTAGATCAGTTTGTCTGTTGTTCAGATGTACATAGATCAGTTTTGTACGCAGTTCAGGTGTACGTAGATCAGTTTTATCTGTAGTCGAGGTGTATGTAAGTCAGTTTTGTCTGTAGTTCAGGTGCATATAAGTCAGATTTTTTTTGAAAGTATCATGACAATTTCTACTTTAATCTTTTTTTTCGGAATTTGATTTTATTCTTAAACATTAAATTGAAGTTAATATATTTTCATATTTAGCTCAAAGAACAGTAATTTCAGTAAAATAATTTGATTTTGGGAGTATATAGCTATCTTTGATCGTTCGAGCGTGAAGCTATGTTTGATTGTCGGAATGTGGTGTTATGGTTTGATTATTGGAGTGTGGAGCTATGGTTTGATTCTTGAAGTGTGGAGCTATGGTTTGATTCTTGGAGTGTGGAGGTGTGGTTTGAATGTTGGAGTATAGAGCTATGGTTTGATTGTTGGAGTGTGGAGCTATGGTTTTATTGTTGGAGTGTGGAGCTATGATTTGATTATTGGAGTGTGGAAGTATGTTTGACTGTTGGAGTGTGGAACTATGGTTTGAAAAACCTATGCAATTAGCTTTTCTAGACACTCTAATAATAGATAAAAAAAAGTATCTACAGACTTCGCTTATCTGAAATTTCGTGTTATTCCTATTTTTTGTAAATTCACACCTCATCGTCCAGGCAATATCAGGCGAGGATTTGTTTAAAGCGACGATACTCACTAAAGAATATGAAATTATGTTGAAGCTGAAATGAAAACTCACGTTAGTGACTCAATGGTAAGTCTGAAGACTTATAACAGCACATATAACCTATTTAATGAATCGAGTTTAGATACCCGCATTAGGCACAACACAAATAATATATTGCATAGCTTTGTTCTTAGAAATAACCAAACATTAAAATGTATTTTGTATCACGGGCATAAATATAAAAACAATATTTGATTATCGTTTATTTGTTCATTATGTTACGATAATATGTTTTACCAAACTATGAATTTTTATTTCGTCAATTTTTATAATTAATTTTCTAAAAGTATTTTTCCAACCTATAAAATTTCTCATCGTTGTTATGGCACGCTACTATTCACGTGACGAGATAGTTATTATTGTGGCATGCTATGCTACTATTCACATCACGAGATCATCATTGTGGTAGCATGCTATTGTTCACATCTTTAGCTCTATCCTTACATTCCGTGCTTCAATTTTAAGATTCTTTGCTTGAGATAAAAGTATTTTTTTCGAAAAAGGCTTATAAGCGAAACGTCATAAAAAATATCTAATTTTCTGGACCCAGGCCATATCTTATTTCTATTTTCTCGAAATTCTTGAAAATTTTCTTCGGTATTTTTCACATTCTTGAAAACAGAGTAACGAAGAAATGCCGTCATTTCAGATAGTAAGCCCAGAAAATTGTTGTTAGCAGTGTTCTTCTTCCTCTAAAAATTAACACTAACTTTAACCTAGGTGTTTCCTCTAACTAAAAGTTAAGCTATTGTTCTAGAATTATGTACATTATTTTTTATGACGTTTTAGTGCCTCATATATACATCCTGGTGAGATATCTTCCGTTCCGAATTTAAGGATTGTCGTGCTATTTTCTATGATAACAAAACAAAGAAAAACTTCATTTACTTGCAAGAGTTTGTTTCGTGTATCAGGAATTGTTTTTTACCTAAACAGTTATTTTAGTTTTTACGGTTTCTAAGGAGATTTGTATGTATATTTATATATTAAGGTACTTGTGTATATTATTTATATATATTAAGATGCCTGTATATATTATTTATATATTAAGGTGCTTGTGTATATTATTTATATATTAAGGTGCTTGTGTATATTACTGAAATATTAAGGTGCTTGTGTATATTACTGAAATATGAAGGTGCTTTTGTATATTATTTATATATTAAGGTGTTTATGTATATTGTTTATATATTAAGGTACTTGGGTATATTATTTATATATTAGGATGCTTGCCCATTTCATTCAATTATTTACATCTTTTTTCATTTTCCAAGTCACTGGGCCAATTTTTAAATAAAACCAACTAATAAATCACTATTCAACAAACATTTACACTACTCTTATCAACCTAATGATTGATTCATTTATTAATTCGACTCGCGTCTACTCACGCACTAGCCATCCAGATCGCCCATTTTCACATCCTCCAGCTTATATAAAGTTATATCCAATCAATTGATCAGCTTCTACACATGATCGATCGATTACTTCATGCACACTTCGACATACCTATTTATCGATTCTGTCATGAAACACACAGATTTGTTAACTTAACTGTCCTTCGCGCATTATAAAAGACCAAACATATATCCCTTCCTCTCTCCTCCCGCCGCATTTCACTCTGACAGATAAAAGCCGAAATCCTTTACACGAGTCTCTATGTATCCTTCTTCTGTCTATCTATCAATATCCACATTCATAACTAGGTTATTTTCTATCTGTCTCTTTGCTTTGGTTACCAAGTGAAGGCTAAAGACATGAGAGATATGCACGTTTCTCTAATTACTCAAGGGAAATGAAAGAACATAATCTATGTGTCTTTGCTTTGGTTACCAGTGGAGGCTAAAGACAAACAGGTTACGTTACTTTTGTTCCTCTTGAGCAATTAGAGACACGTGCATATCTCTCATAACCAAACAAACGAGTGTTCTAGACTTGATTGACTTCGACAACTCTGTTAATACATCATATGGTTTTATACACTCGCGTAAATAAAATGTTCTAATTGAGAAGAAATATAATTAATTAATGTGTCACTTGTCTTGCAAATATAATTGTTCCCCTATTTTACTATAACGGACATATTTAATACTTATTTAACTGTGATTGCTGTGTAGATCAAGAGAGAAGATATCACAAAAATGACAACGTTTAGCAGACAAATATGTCAAATTAAATTAGAAACCCATAAAAGAAGTGTTTTAAACAGATTTTTAGGGAAATATTTATTGTCGTTTTTTGCGATTGTGTATATTTTCTACTTGGTCTTATTAAAATGACATAGAGTTTAAATATCACCAGTGTTTACAAACACACTATTTTTCAGTTAACGTTCACATTTTACCAAATAACGTAACAGAAGCTAGACCACTAGGTTTAACTTTCCCACAATATTAGAAGAATATGTAGAAAGAGATGACATTTTATTTAAATTTGTTTGTTTATCAATAGATCACTTTATTTTCTTAATCTGTTTTCCAGACTAATAGTACTAAACACATTTTACTACGATCGAGTGATAATATAAAACTTACCATAGAGCCTTCGTCGATAGAATCTAAATTTAATACCCAAACGTGAAAACGTACGACCGTAGGCTCGCCTGAATAAGTAAGAAATATTTACACATCAGCGCAGAAATAAGTGGGTTTTCTTAAAATAAAAGTTCTAATAATCACAGAAAAATATCCAATATATGTTTTCTTTAAAGTAACAAATTATAAACTGTTGTTTTTAAAGTTTTTTATGATACAATTTGAAAACTAACAAGGCTAATTTTAAACTTTACTTTTTATCTTTTTTTTAAAGCTAACTTTTTAGTAATGTTCATTCATTATCATAGTTTATTTGGAAAATTGAATGACAAGGGAACAATCAAAGGTAGATTTTAATTTCAATTAACTAAATGCATATATTCAAGTCTACCAAAATAGTTTTTGAGAAGGTGAAATTCACATAAAGCATCTGAAAAAAAAAACACACGAAATATTATATACTGATATTGAGCTTTCTTTGAATATAAAAAACAACTTAAAATCTGAAGCGTTTCAGGTAAAAAAAAAAAAAAGACAAGTTTTTTTTGTGTAGAAAAATAAAAAAATAAAGTTTTTATCAGAAAAACAACAACTTTATTTTTATATAAGGGAACGTCTATCTTAAACCTTCTACGTGTCAAACAAATTATCAAGAGTAACCAAAGATATAACATTCTTTTCTACTGAGTTCTTTCTTTGAAAAATATCAATCAATAAATCCCAGTTGGTAAGAACGTACAGAGTTTGAAAAGTTGAAACACGTAGTTCTATCAATTTTTTTCTGTTATATTTCGCTAAAAAAATAACAGATCTTAAAGTACGCTGGAAAATGAACAAACTTAATTTAAAATCATATAAAAAAACTTTCTAGAACTTCCATGATTTATTTATCTAAATTAAACACCGGCTTATTAAATGTAAACAGAATTATTATATAAACAGCCCTCATTAAGATTTTCATTAAGACAGCTAGAATGATCTATATTTTATGTTTAGATTATTACTTTTCGATCTTTTTACAAAACCCATTTTTCAATATTACTTATATATTTATGTCGTATTAGTAGTGACTAGAAAATCTAAGATTTATTAATAAAAGTAAGTTATAGTATATTATATCTTTTAAACTTACTTATATTAACAGTAAGGGAATGTGAAGTAAGACAGGTTCTTTAACTTTGGATGCGGTTTTCCCCAAGGATGAGTGTCATAAAAAGCAAAATGTTTAAGAATTAACCCTGTTTTATTACAAATCTCGTTACTAGTTAAAAAAGGATTGGACATAGCCTTTTTTAAATATTGAAAAAAATGGACGTCTTGTGCCTGGGGGTCGTTTTATATATAAAGTTCGATAAAAATGGACCCTCAATATGAAATTTAGAAAAAAAAATCGAAAAACTGAAGTCGCATTTTAATCATTCACATTCGAGCTCGTGCACCAGTGTGTTTATGCACGAGGTCGCGTGAATAATGCTTACACATGATTTATTCTAGATAGAAGCAAATCATAACTTAGACCCAACTTAAGTCTCCTAAGTTGGTCGAACCTCCTTATACATTATTGAGATTACAGCCGAAAATGTTGCTAAAAGCTAAGGTACCCAAATTATGAAACAATACATTATTATCTTCATAGATAGTAATATGGATGTAGAATATTTAATTAACTACACTCCCTTCCAATGCTTTCATTGGTTATTCTCTAAAATCTTCATACAATTTTTACATAAAAGAGAAATGAAATTCGTATTTCAATGAAACTATAGGTTTCAGCTGACGTTTATGTCTGGCGAACATTTATTATTATTATTTCGTATTTCAATAGCATACGCCACTCAAGAACGGAAGTTGAGGTTCACTGAGTCTCCATCTGGTAGTACACTTTTATAACGTGAAAAATAATTAAAGTTTTTGAACGAGGTTGACCTAGGAGTTAGCGTGATGGACTGTGGATCGGAGTTTCTATGGTTTGCATCATTTTGCTACACGAAATAGACGTATGTGCGTTATAACAGTGACAGTTAAATCACGCTATTTGATTAGGATAACCCAAAATCTGCTGTTGACTAGCTGCCATCCCTCTTATCCTTTAGTTCGAAGTTAGGGCCAGCTAGCGCAGACAAATCAAAATGTGGTTTTTACATCTTAGTTTGCTTTATCTTAATGCTTAATAATGACCTGAAAACTTGCATTAATTACTTCAGCTTTCTGTAATTGGAATACAAACTTTCATTTTTTTTTTTTTACTTTGGAGAATATTAAAAACGTACTATTCTGTCATAAAAGCCCCCAGTGGCACAGCGGTATGTCTGCGGACTTACAACGCTAGAATCTTGGTGTCAATACCCGTGGTGGGCAGAGCACAGATAGCCCATTGTGCAGTTTTGTGCTTAATTACAAACAAACAAACAAACTCATAAAATTCACAATCATTCATTCAAAGTTTAAATGGGTACGAAACTTGTCTTTTTTATTTATTTTAATCTAAAATTAATACTGAAGATATGTATAATAATATTTTATTAATGTTGACAATCTGTCTGAACTTTTAGAAATTAATTTTGAAAATCGTGCTTTTTAGAAAAAAATGAAAACATTTTTAATATGTTTTATATAAGGCAACTTAGCTCCGTATAAGCACTGGTACTTGAAGACCCTAAACGTATTCTATATAAGAAGATGAAAAACTGTCTTCTCGTTTTGTTCTCCAGCGTATATTTCAGTCGGTTGAAAATATAAGAGCCAAATTACAAAGCGAATACCCGTAGCAGTGTTAACTTTTTAATAACTGGATTGCTTTTACATCTCTGATTTATTTTGACAGAATAAAAGAGTAATTATCCTTTTAGATCATCAGCATACCTCATTGTTGCGTATTTAATTAAGAGCTTCACCTGTGGGAGATTACGATACTTCTATTTCCTGTTTTTAATGTCAATGTGGGTATCACGTGTTACTATGAGGTCCGCGTTTAATAACAGAGAAGTACAAAATAATTTATGGTTAAACTGACTTCCAAAAATTATTGTAATTTCTAAACCACGAGCTTAACTTCCAAATATATACTTTTTATGATTCATAAATCATAATTTCTGACAGTCAATATAGAAAATATGCGATATTATTTACCTTCAAATTATATTTTTCTGAAAGTGATAATTATCAAAAGTTATAATTATCAGTAACACTGACAGTTTCAAAGACACTTATGGAAATAACAAAGAGAGTTTGCTAAAACTATCTTACTTAGTTGAAAATTTCATTGTAAATTAGATCAATGAATATTAGCGTTATTTCATTCATGCCACTATGCTCATTGCTTAGTTTATATGTTATATAAAAAAAGAAGACAAGTGAATAAATTTTATTGACAGTGTTGTTAAGGGATCTTTTAAATGAACTAATTATTGAAAATTCAGAATGTTTCACGACCGTGATTCTGGTGAGACTGCAATACTCGCTATTAATGTTGACCCGGTAATATGTAATCTGTTGACATAACTTCATTAATGGTTAAGTGGGTTTCCGTGAAGCACCTTGAAAAGTGGAACTGATTAATTGGAACTTCATTGGAAAACTTCGCAGCTGGTATGGATAGGTACTGAAAAAAAACTCAAAACAGAAATTTTAAATTTGACAAAGAAACGTGTATGTAGTCTGCCAAATATCGCAGGTTCTCGAAAAAAGACCCGATCTTTGCAAACTTAAAACTATAAATAAAGCAAATAATATTAATCGTTAAACTTCTAATGCAAAATACTAAAACATCAACTTAACTGAAACTGATAAAACAAAACTATAAAAGTTTCTACCTAGTTAACTTTGATAAGTACAACTTCAGACTTAATCAATTGAAGTGTCATTTTTCAGAAGCCTAATTATCTACTCCGTCACAGCGCGGCATGGCCAGGTGGTTAGGGCACTTGATTCGTAGTCTGAGAGTCGCAGGCTCGAATTCCTCTCCCACCAAACATACTCGCCCTTTCAGCCATGGGGGCGTTATAATGTGACGGTCAATCCCACTTTTCGTTGAGACTAGCTGTCCTCCCTCTAGTCTTTCACCGTTAAATTAGGGACGGCTATTTCAGAGATAGCCTTCGCACAGCTTTGCGCGAAATTCAAAATAAACAAATTATACTGCGTCAATTGATTATCAAGCTTATCCGTCATGGGTTTTGCAGAAATATATCTGAATATAAAAGGCTTAGTTTTAAAAAAAATCGCAAAAAATGCGCATATTCGTAGCTAATTTTGAACTGGTAGACTAATTATTACATACCGTTGTACCAAAGCTAAATTTTATCTGATAGACTAATGATTACATATTGTTATACCTTAGCTAATTTTGAACTAATAGAGTAATCATTACATACCGTTATACCAAAACTAATGTTGGACTGATAGACTAATTATTACACCTTAACTAATTTTGAACTGGTAGACTAATGATTACATATTGTTATACCTCAGATAATTTTGAACTGATAGACTAATTATTACATATTGTTATACCTTAGCCAATTTTGAACTAATAGAGTAATTATTATATACCGTTATACCGAAGCTAATTTTGAACTGGCAGACTAATTATCACATACTGTTTTACCAACACTTATAACACATATTGCGCCTATTTCTTTGATCACAAAGGAATAATTAAGTTTGTCCATCATATTATAGCACACACATCGCTCCAAGGTGCAAATCGCCTTTTTGCGGCATTGAGACGCGAACCACGAATCTCTGGTTTTACAGTCCGAGCACGTTAACCGTTAGCTGCGCTTGGCCTACCACAAAAGTACAAAATTGTCTTGAAGAGTTAATCAAGTGCGTATTTAAAATCTAAATATTCTTACATTGTTAATAACGATTGTCTCCAACGCCAACAAAATTTGTTTTACCACTTTCTAGATTTTAACAGTTAATACTAACTTCTGAGCAAAACACGCTACTTATATATATCAAACCTTAATCTAACGTCAGATCCCTAAATTTCTTAGTTTCATTTGAAATATTATAAAGGCAAAGTGTACTTGGTGAGTAAAACCCACTCATAAAAATAGTGAAACGAAGTTCCTGTAATTAATATCTACGATAATAACTATTCCAGTTCGCTCCTGTAATTAATATCTACGATAATAACTATTCCAGTTCGCTCCTGTAATTAATATCTACGATAATAACTATTCCAGTTCGCAAATTAAATTAAATACTGCAATTATTTATTTTGTCCTGGTGTTAAAAATTGACATTACTTGTTATTAATGCTGAGGATCAGTTCCATTTATGATTGTTTTGTTCATGATTTCATAAAATATTAAAATATGATTTGAATTGTTTTACAAATCTTGAGGGTTAATGTTAAATTTTTAGTATTATAGTTTTAATATATGAATAATTATTCGCACACGTCTTGCTCTCATTAAAATAAAAAAAGGGTTATAACGTCGTAACTCTACGTTAGCGCGCTGTGGACTGAGGTTTTAATAACTGTTAAAGGATACAGTCAGGAAATTGTCGCCTCAAACTTCCCTTTATTTTACTATCGTCATTCACTGTAGGCCACAGATTAGAATCTCGGAATAATGGTAACTTTTGTGAAACAAAAAGCCAAAATTTTACTGTTTGCATGCATAAATCTTCTTCATATTCAACAAGGATAATATACTGTTGCTTATCAATAATTATTAGTTTTGTTATGATCACCGTACTAATTAATGAAACCGTTAAGACAATTTATTACCGTATTCACAACGAAACGTTATTCTTTACGTTGCCAAATAAGTACAAATAGTTTAAATTAAGTCTGCCTTAGCGATACTAAATGATTTCAAGTACCACAAACTTTAATCAAAATTTAATTAATTTGATAACGTTAAGTATGTGAAATCCGTCTGACTGCATGACTGTGGTAGGAATAACACAAATAATAAGATTGATTTGGTTTGTTTGAAGATAAGCACAAAGCTACACAATGGGCTATCTGTGTCCTGCCCACTACGGGTATCGAAACCCGGTTTCTAGCGATGTAAGACCGCAGACATACCGCTGTACCAATGGGAGGGGGGGGCAAATAATAAGGAGCGTCTGCATTCAATTCAATAAAACCCTACATTGTGCCCTTTTCCTGCTAAGAAGTTTTGTTACGTTACACAAGACCTGAAACTGTAGTATCCTAAAGTATAGAACTTTAGTTATATTCTAATAAGAAGTTTAATTTCAGTTTAGTAATAATTAGCTTTGTCCACAGTTGTGATACGGAGTACACAGTAGTCAATAATATACATTATTTAGTCCAATGTGATAAGAGCGCTGCGATATTGCTCCTACGATATTGCTCCAATATTAATTTAGTCAATATTGCAGTAAAACGTGGCGTACAATTTTCACTTACCGTTTTCCTTAGGTGGCTGTAGACTGTCGTAGTCTCGTGGATTCTTCGGAAGTATGTTATCAAATTCTAGAACTTCTTGTCTAGGGAGATAGTAAAACTTTGAAAACTGTAGATTCAGTTGTTCTTATCTCAAGATAAGCTTTCTAAAACTGTAGATTCAGTTGTTCTTATCTCAAGATAAGCTTTTTAAAACTGTAGATTCAGTTGTTCTTATCTCAAGATAAGCTTTCTAAAACTGTAGATTCAGTAGTTCTTATCTCAAGATAAGCTTTCTAAACTCTGACATAAAAATGAAAAGACGATGTTAAGAGTTTTCATAAATTAAACAGTAAATTTCTAAATGTGTTAGAAAAAGTAAACAATATGCATCTTTTAACAATTGGTCTTATCTTTTAACACGTGAAATACTTTAAAGATACTCATTTTCAAGTTATACCTTTTCACGGCGTTTGGATTATTCCGTTCGGATGAATTTTGATAAAAGAGTTAGAACAAAGGATCACCTATAAAGTGTAATAGACTTAAATAAGACCCAAAGCTCGAGCGCTTTCAAATAGTTGACTATTCTTCTATGTAAATCCTCTGCCTTGTATATATATATATACATTTAAAATTATACATATAATTAATTGTAATATTACGTAGAAAATGAAAGAAAAAAGAAACAACGTAGCTACAAGACATGTGCCACCTGGACACACAGCGTAATGTGGGTAATTATGCAATGTGCCCTGGTACTGGCGGAAGTATGACCCAAGTTACATTGGAGGTACACCGTCTATCCAGTTTAACCTCAGTTTCGCAGGCCTCACAGTCTTAATGACAATAATAAAAAGAGCAGATGTGGGTGTTCTAGTCCACAACGTCCCACATTTTTACCATCTTTCGCTATCTGCAGCCAGATGTGGGAAGGTGGCTGCTCAAAAAAATATAAAATAAAATTTATGAAAAAAAAGAAATAATTGGAATACAATACATCAATAGGGGAGAAAGTAAAACTCTGTCCTTGAAGTTGGCATTCCAGCCCCCATAATGATGTTTGGACATAAATACCATGATGTTAAGGTATTACTATACCCGTCCAACCTAAATTGTTAGTATAGCTCCCATTCTCCACCTATATATGTATGTATCCATCATTCTGACACCAGGGATCGCCAGTAACAGAAAATTTGCATTAATGAATTATTGGGTATCTCACCAATCACTTGTGAAAACAGTGAAATTTTGAAAACGGAAACAACATCAAAATAATTCATAAGAATTAAAACTTAAATTCATCAGCTTTGTAAAACACACACGTATGTATATATGATAATTACTTTACCTAATCTACTAGTTACTTAAATTAGGTGATCACAAACCTTCTCGGTACAATGTCTCCTAGAACATTCCGCATCCTGTAGCCGCCACAAAATGATTCTATATGTAATGAACTCCCTAAACATACTGTTTATTCTGTGTATTTCCCTCCGACACTTTTCAAAGGCTTCCGGGCTTAGATCCGCGACCCCCGTTTTGGGAACCCCTGACTTAAATAACCGATTATTTTTACAGCTTAAAACATAGTTCTTTTTATTAAGAACTTTTGGACAAAAGTAAACTACCGATATAGCTCAAAAATTTAAAAGGAGACTTGATACTAAACTGAAAATGGTGACCGCCAACATACTTTTAATTGTCATTGACTTTATCTGGATGAACTGTGTGGACAATGTTTAACTGGACATTGTATGTTTAAAGTTGTCTTAAATTACGAGATCACAGTCATCATTAAGTGTTATTTCCCGGTGTGTCAGCGGTAAATGTACAGACATATAATACTAAAATCTGGAATTCGATTTCCCGCAGTGGGCAGAGCGCTGGTAGCCCATTGTGTAGCAGTGCACTAAAAACAAACATACACAGTAAATGCTGCTAGGAGAAATAAACCCTTGGAATATTTTTATATCCTCTGTCTTTTGACTTATTCATTAAAAATTGACCTAATGTTCAACTATAATGTTCTCAAAATAAAACTAGGATGTAATGAAAAAATAAGCTGCGAGGAGAACAAAGTCCTTTTATTGTCTAATAAAAGTTCTCCAAAGTTTCTAATTTGGACCAGTAAAAACATCTTTACATTAAAGCGCGTTAAGTCTGTAAAATAATGTGTTACGAGTGTTTGTGTATCTCTTGACTATCGTCTTACTACATCCAAAACTTCTCTCTATGAATAATTTACATAATAAGAAACAAACAAACAAGACTGCACAATGGGCTATGTGCCGTGCTAACGTCAGGGATAGAAGTGCAGATTTTAGCATTAAAATCCTCAAGTGGACTTTTGAGTCACCGGTTTGGGGGTTGGCGTTATGGGAGGACGGTCACTGAAGGCATAGAGTGTGATATAATCTAAGAGGATTTTGAACCAAGTAGATACGACTGTATGACTTGATTTTTTTCATCAAGAAAAGAAGAGAAGCACTGCAGGTTTGTTTTTTGTTAAGCGCAAGGTTACAGATTGGGATTTCTGTGCTGTTCTCATCAAGTGTATCGAAACCATGTTTTTAGCGTTGTAAGCCTTAAGACTTATCGCTGATCCATTGGGAGGCACAACAAAATAAAAAAAAGAAGAAAGAAAGTAGCGTGGTTTTACAACTGTTTTATTTTACATTACCAGGAAAGACCACAAAACTGTTTTAGGCACACGAAAGATGAAAATTCGTGAAAGTAATATACATGCTTATAGAATTCTGATCTATAAAGACTAAAAACGCTTTATTGACATAATTTCATTTTGTATCGTTATATACAGAAGTGTAAACAGTGTTATCAAAAGTGGTAATTCTTCTGACAAACTAATCTGAAACGATTGGCAGAGCAAACTTACGAAAAATCGCAAAAATATTGGAAATTAATAAACTGTATAAAAGAGTAAAGGCAAACCTTGAGATCTTCAAACAGTAAAGAAAGACGTAGGTGGAGAAGGTTGTTCGAAATTTCTGCATTTTTTCTTTGCCAAAAATGTAACAACGATCTATAAGAAAAAGATGCCTTAATTTTAGTACTGTTCTTTGTACTTGTAGAGAAATTCGAAGTTATTTTTAAAACATTTCATTCTAGAAAGAGGTCAAGGACTCCTATAGTAGAATTTTCGTCAAGGAAAACTGATCCTAAAAAATACCGTGTGTATTTAACAATTTAAATACGTTATTCAATTATCTAGAGAAACATTTTGATTCAAATACGTTATGCAATTATCTAGAAAGTCATTTTGGTTCCAAATACGTAATGCTCTAGATTGACATTTTGGTTCGAAATACGTTATGTAACTATCTAGAAAGGCATTTTGGTTCCAAATACACTAGGCAACTTTCTAGAGAGGCATTTTGATTTCGAATACGTTATGCAACTATCTAGAGAGCGTTTTGATTCCAAGTACGTTATGCAATTGTCTAGAGAAGAATTTCCATTTCAAATACGTTATTCAATTATCTAGTGAGGCATTGTGATTTCAAATACTTTATGCAATTATTTATAGAGGCATTTCGAGTTGAAATACGTTATGTAATTATCTAATGAGGCATTCCGATTTCGAATACGTTAGGCAAATATCTAGAGAGGTATTTTGGTTCCAAATACGTTATGCAATTGTCTAGAAAGGGATTTCGATTTCAAATGCGTTATTCAGTTATCTAATGAGGCATTTTGATTTCAAGGTTTAATCAACTAGATAGCTTTCACAAATACTATGCCGTGATTTACACCATTGAATAACAGGTAGAATTAATATCTCACATAGCGGGTCTTCCAACAGATCCTCTGGCAGAGCTTACTGCAATCAAAGTTAGGTTATTGCAAAACAGAGTGCACGTTTCTTTCGTCTTTTACACGTTATTAATTAATCCTTTAGTTTGTAACGCTCAAACAAATATTTGTTCTAATGTAAATAACATACGATAACGAAAGCTGCAATAGTTCACAAACAAAACATAATGTGTTTTGATCAAAACGTACTTTTATCTTTATGACCATAAGGGCTGATCACTTCGTTACGTAGATACACACATGTAAGACGTACCTTACTTCTTACGTTAGTTCTTGAGCAATTATTTTGGCAATGTTAAACACATTTTTCTTGTTGTGGTTTGATTTACACTTAGTTCTGTATGGTCAAAACAAAACTATCTGCGATGCTTAGTGGTGTCCACGTGTTGATACTGTAGGTTATCACTTTTCTGTTTTCCTTATATCTAATTAGATAAACTTGTCCCTCAGTTAAAATTCATTAGTAAATTGCCTTATGTATGTGTGAATGACTAATTTTCAAGTTAATCTGAGGCTAGTGGATAACATTTGGTGGTAAGACTCAGTTTTACACTGACTATTAATTTCCAATCTCTTAACACTAAAACTCACATCATCGACACCATGTGTTATATCCCATAAGCAAAACATAGCAGTAAGATGTAAACATTGATCGGAGATTTTGTTTGACACATGACTTGAATCTTTAAATAGACTTTACCTCAAATGTATGTAAAGTGAAGTCTGCACATTACTCTGTAATCTAGTGTAAAAAGTTCATACACTATTACAAAAAAGGATATTTTATTTTAAAAATATATGAAATATTGAACAGAAAAAAATGATATTTATTTTAGCAACAGATGTATATAGACTTCGTCTGAAAAGCGTGATTATAACAATTACCATAAGGTGGTTTGAAGGGCTAACTTCTAAATAAATAAGGTTTGTTTGCTTTTAATTACACCAACTTTAGATTAAATTTGTTCATAAAACGTTACATTTTACATTAAAGTCAGAATGAAACAGTGTTCTATCCTCTAATTATGTCTGTTAGATTACTACCTTTTGCTTTTGGAAAACTTAGCTAGCTTAACTGTCAAAGTATTTTGTAATTTTATGAGCTAAAATAAATCAAACTCAGAACAACCTATCAAATTGCAAGAGTACAGAACCGACTAGTACCGTTATATCTAGTCTGGTTTACTTCCAAATAATGAGTGTTAAAAACCTTTATTAACATGTTCCATGATGTTATAGGAAGTATTCAACACTCATTAATGTTAATAATAGAACATGTTAATAAAGGTTTTTAACACTCATTATTTGGAAGTAAACCAGACTAAAGATAACGGTACTAAATCATGTTAATAAAGGTTTTTCAATAATCTTATTTAGAATTAAATCAAACTAGACATAATGGGACTTAATCATGTTAATAAAGGTTTTAACATCATTATTTAGAAGTAAATCAGACTAGTTCAGTGTTAAAAAACCTTTCTTAACATGATTAAGTATCATTGTGTTTACTCTGATTTACTTGTGAACAAAGGGTATTAAATCGATATCCATACACGATTTTAACTACTTTGACAGAACTGACTATATAAGTATGTGTGTGTGTATATATACAAAGTGACGCATATACAAATCACTGTGTACGTTCAATGTTAACATACAGTGCTTCTATTTTATATAATGACAGTTTAATAATTTTTATCTTCCTAAAAATATGTTTTTTCTTTAAACATTTTGCTCAAAGCTATGTTCAATGGGTATCCTCGTATTGCCGACTCTTATTTTGAAGTGATAAACTAGAGGGAAGGCACCTAGTCAACAGCTCCCACAGCCACCTGGTGGACTGTTCTTCTCCCACCGAATAGTAGGACTTGAGATTAACTCCTGTAGCACAACCACTATTCCAATGTGCGGAACGCGTTTTGTGGCAAGGAGTTAAACAATTAACAACAAGCTAAAACAGAAACAGATCCACTACAATTTTCACAGCAAACGTAGATCGGCTGTAGTTCTGTTACAATATATATATATAAGTTACTTTTACGTCAGTATCTTATCAAATTACTTTTTTATCAGCTAGTGAACAGTAAATTCATGTTGAACAAAGCAACATGACTGCTATTGTAGTTAACATTAACTACTCATAAGCTCTCTTTTCTTTCAGAGAGAGGGGAAGGAAGGTGACTTTTATTTCCCTTTAAAATCTTCCTTTTAATGTATACAGTTTTTTGTGTGAGAAAAGCTAACTAAACTGTTTCTAAATAACATCTTTTTTTTTTGTTATCTCAATTTATTAGAAGCGAAATTACAAATTAAGTTCAATACCGAAAAACAAAATCAAAATTAATTTTTTAGTCATAAAAGTATGTATTTTCAAAACATATTAACTTATCAGAGTTTCGAGATCGAATTTTCATCATTTTTGAACGCATGAATACATTATTAATTTACCCTTCATGTTAACACACACACAAAAAAGAAAAGAACAAAAATGAGAAAGGAGATAAAGCTTTACTGAACGTTTTTTTAGTCAAACAATTCAAAAATATATGTAACAGCATTTCATGAGAAAAAAAAAGCAAAAACCTTACAAAAGAAATATATCTATTTGTATTTCTTGAGAATTTATGTGCCATACGAGTTAAAATATATTATAGAGCACGATTCTTTCTATGTTAATTTGTAAGTTCAGTCTACGACTACTATAAGTAGATAAATACTAGCATCTAGAAAGAAAAACTCATTTTAATGGTTGGAGTTGGCTGGACGATTTCCTGATGGTAGTAAAAATTCCTTAAAAGCTACATGCAGCAATAATGGAAAAATAATACAACTTTAAGTGTATAGTCTTGTAATGAGCCGAGAGAGAGGGGAAAATGTCATCATAAAGTAAAATAGAATGTATCCTTATAACACAATAAATCATGTAAGTTACAATGCATGTCAGTATATTTTATGTTTATAAGACGTATTAAGTAATGAAGTAATTTTCAACAATACGCCTTTCATCTGTGATTTTTGGTGGACTGAAAAACAATGTTTATCTTTCCTCAGGAACAGAAACTTTCAGGACTTCTTAGAAAAGTTGTTGTGTACAACAAAGAAGGAAATCCAGAACACTTTATCATACATGTAAAATCTTTCAGGTTAACACTATGAAGTGACAAATTTATAACACAAGTAACTTCTGAATTTCAAAATTATGAAAGCATTAAGTTAATATGCATATATTTTAAAAATTTTACCACTTCAATATTAATCTTCGCAAGTTATTATATTTATTTAAATGTATTAAAGGAGTATGGCTTTAAATAATTTTGGAACATAACAAAGTTATTTCCTAAGGTAAGTGATAAGCTCTGCCTGCCAATTTCTTCACATTCGATTAGCATTAACTCAACAAACAAACACACAAAAAAAACTGTAGCAGTAGGAAAAGAATATTAGAAAATATACAAGTCATTAAGTCACATTAGATGATCTTAAATCCCATTGGTTTTACAGAAACATTTAAGTTTTTTTTTATCGTACCCAGTATTTAATTCTATACCATCTCTGTTTGTAAACTGATTGTTATATTTGAAGATCGCGTCTCAAGATGACAGACAAAATAATAAACCAATCATATTTTATCTGCTTAACTCTCGGATATATCAACGTTTCACTTATCCTCTTCCTACCGAAGTGCTCTATTTGACGAGTAAAACAGTCTACACATTAGCAAGTAAAATTTTCTATAAAACAGGATTATGAGAAATTGAATGGATTACGACATAAACTGGTGATTAACAAAACAGACCATTAGTACCTTGGCTGTTGTCAAAGGCTTTATGAGTCAAAACATAAACTAGCGATTAGCTAATAAGATTCTACAATAACCAGAATTGTGATATATTCGATCGATAAGTACATGATTCTGTTATTAGCAAATGAAATCACCTAAGATCCAGAATTATGAGAGACTGGAAGGATTGTAAACAAACTTGTGCCTAGGTAGCAAGTAATTAAAGCATTCTAACATCCAAAACGATTGTCAGTGTGGATAGGGACACAATTTTGTTACTAGGAAGTAAAATCCTATAAATAAAACAAAATTATGAGGTATTTAATGGATTGCAACATAAAGTGTAGACTAACAAGTACAATCTACTAAGAATACGCAAGGCGTCTATGAGAGATTTGGTGGATAACAGCGTAAACAAGTAAAATCTACTTAGAACCCGCAAGGCGTCTGTCTATAAAATATATTTGATGGATCACGGTATAAAATAACAAGTAAAATCTACTGAGAACCAGCAAGGCATCTAGGAGAGAGAGAACTGATGGATCATGACATAAATTAATAAGTAAAACCTAATGATAATCCTCAAGGTGTCTATGAGAGAGACTTGATGGATCACGGCATAAACTAATAAGAAAAATCTACTGAAAATCCTCAAGGCGTCTATAAGAAAGACTTGATGGATCAAGACATAAACTAACAAGTAAAACCTACTAAGAGTCCGCACGGCGTCTATAAGAGAGAATTGGTGGATCAAGACATAAACTAACCAGAAAAGTCTACTGAAAATACCCAAGGCGTCTATAAGAAAGACTTGATGGATCAAGACATAAACTGGCAACATAAAAACAAAGATAACGTGAATGAACATGAATAGAATTAACAACTTTTAATTTATCTGCAGTTTATTCGATGAAATTAATTTAACATGCTGTTGCTTTTTGTTTCTCAGTGTGCAAAGAAAACAATCTTTCTTCTGTCTGAACAGTGGTAATGTGTACCATAAAACCATGAACTTTGCTGTAATGGTATTCAGATCAATAGTTTCTTAGAGCTGATCCAAGATTTTTCTTTACTAAGCTTAAATCAACTCACTCGTGCTTGTGAAGTATCTTCTGTTTAACAAAAAGTAAGAAAGAGGAAAGTTTAAAGTTTGAAGATCAAGAAAATCCACTGATTTATTGACACTTTTTTTAGTTCGTTTTTTTATGTTTACAGCACTAGACTTGCAAAGATGGCACACTTATCGTTTTTTTTTCTTTTCTCAAAAGCTATTGTTTACTTTGTATGATAGTTCGTGAGCTTCTTGAGAACTTCTTTACCAAAACATTTGAGGGTGAGGGGGGTGGCGTAATTAGAGCTTTACAAATATAATTTTAAAAATCCGGTATTCATAAAGAAGTATCAAAGACACACGAGACAAAAAATTGCTTAATACATATATATCATTTTAATTAAATGGAACATTAATATTTTGTTTCTAAAATATTCGTGCAGATAGCCCCAACACACCCTAATTTTCAACATGTAGGTTAGAGTTAAGCCTGATCCAATAGTGAGAGGTGATTAACCTCATAGCATAACCTACAACCCCGAAGTGGAGAACGCGTTTTTGCGGCAACGAGTCGTAAACAAGAAATTCTCGGATTCACAGTCTGAGTACTCTAATCTGCAGCCACCTCCAGCCATTTGAGAAACATATACGAGACTTGAAATATGTATATTAAAGGTATAACTTCTTTAAATAAGTTTAATTAGAACTTTTTGCTGGATAAACTTGTCTTTGAATTACCTATCCTGGTTTAACAATGCGAAATGTTATTTTTTTTATGTTATTTTAACCACACTATCATAGTTGCGGATTATTTTGTCTTGAATACTTATTAAAACACCATGTAAACGTATGAGGTTTAAACTGTTCAACAATCGAATAAAATGATATATATGTATATTAGTTTTCATAAAGTATAAGAAAGGTAATTGAAATTACTCACCACCTGAAGAGCTGATACTGTGCCAAACGTTTTTACAACAGATATTTTGAGAATTGATTAAGTTAATTTTGAAAGTCTACATGTTTCAAGTTCAAACCATTCGTACTTACTATATGAAACGTTATACGATTACAGGTGCCAATGAATAAAGTGTCTTTCTATAATATACGAGCACACATGGCTAAAGAATGGTTGTCTTCTCAACTCTCGTAGTTTCTCGTTCTAAGATGTACGCGAGAGAATGGATCTGGTTTATTCTCCGTAAAACCAGCGCGTGTGAACACTTATGTTCGAAATGAATCAATCGACCTCTACAACGCAAGCGTGCGCACATTTGCGTGTGTAAATCAAACATTTTCAAGTTAATGTGATGACAGCATAAGATACTGAGAAACAGAGGATGAAAGGAAAGTCAAGCTTTTTAAGATATTTTTTTTTATTTTGGGGAGAGAAAATAACGTATATAAACGTATAGAAGACAAGAAAGTATAGAAGACAGGTGACAAGAAAATCATCACTGAGTTTTATTTTTTACTTATATTTAGAACCAAAAATCAGTTAGAATCTATATAAATATAATAGTAGTATCTGTTGTATGTCCATGTAACTACTTTGCAGTGTGTGGGTGGATCTTCAACAAAATTGGTATGGAAGTTCATGGGTCCAAGCGGGGGTATATACTAATTTTCAGTTTTGCATTTTGCGTTTTGCGGTTTTTTATATGCGTTTTTGCATTTTTAACCACTACTTCTCCCCCTGCTGATGACTCTTCACCAAATTTGGCATGAAGGTTTGTTGGGTCCATGCGGAAATACATGCAAAGTTGCGGTTTTAGCTTTTGTGTTTTGCAGCTTTTATGGGCGTTCTTTTGTTGTTGTTTTTACAATTAAATATAAGGGAAGCAACTTTTCACGTCCGAAGATAACCGTTCATTAAACAAAAATTTACATAACTTCCGTCCAGAGGACGGACGGGTACTCCAGCTAGTTATTCTTAAATTTCGAGATATCAAAATGTTTATAAACATATATTTCACATTTAAAACTATGTACGTGTACAGTTGAATTATGTTGCAACTTTTCATGTGAACAACATAGGTAAAACTAATTTTTTTTCTAAACAAGAACATTATTTTTCAGCTGGATTACGCCGCCAAGTAAATTACATTATTTCTGATCTTATTTAAAAATAATCTTTTTTTTCATTAATTTTCAGCTTTCCAAGTAGAAGAATCTCCTATTGTATTATTAGTCTTTGAGATAGTGTTCGGTGACCAAGGCAACAACTTTTTTTTAATAAGAACGTTATTGAGTAGGGGTTCATCAATGGGTTTCTTTTCTCAGTGTTAGAATGAAGGGTCACATTACGCTCTGTAGATTTGTAAAGTCAAGATCATTGTTGTAATTACCGAATGTAAAAGCTCTAATTGTATATACTATAAAGCACCAAAGATTTTTTGTCAAACACACTAATTATATATATATATATATAGTTTTATATAGCCATGTATCATGTAGCTGAAAAACATGCCTATACCTTTAAATGGTTTCGAAAAAAATTCAAAACTTTAACTACAAAATATAACATAAGTAATTCTAAGAAAAAGCTCCGAATGATCACGAATCATTGAACCCATTAAATTATGAATTTATAAAACAAATAAATTTGGTGATTTGTTCTTTTCACCTAATAAATATATTCAAAACTCGATGTTTCACTACTGTCAAATCTTAAAGGTGATTTCAATTAAATTCTTATTCTGCAATTACGTATTTATAGCAAGCTAGTGTTTTCAAGTGACAGTACAAGACGGAAACTGTGTAAATAAAACATGTTCGTTTTGTGAAATAAAAATATTTGAACTTCCTACATTAGTATCAAATCGACATTGTCAAAGAAAACGTAGTACAACAACACTTAAACAATGGCACAAGCAGCACGGGATATTAAAGAAACTTTTAAAACATTATTTGATAGAAAAATACCACTGCATATGAAAAGCGAATTAAGATTAATATATGTATTCTCATCTTATGTTAAGCAGACAAATAACTTTTTAGTACATATATATATATGTGTGTGTGTGTGTTTAAGCTATGCTTCAGAATTTGTTGTATGGCTTGTTTTGTTATCTTGACCTTTGATTACCGCTCTTTGCAAAATACCGCAAATTTTTAATATTTAAACTTGATATCATTTTGTTTTTATTTCACATATAGCAATCAGAATAAATCTTTTTTTTTAGGCAAACTGAATTTATAAACATATGAGATTAGTATCAGTAAGATAGTTCCATGTGATTTGACTTTCCCTGCTGCACAAGGTATAGTAAAATTAAAGCACTTAACATGTATATTTGGTGTGGTTCTGAAGTGCCTAATATTGGATTTAGTATGATGTGTTTTAACATATGTTGTACCAGCTTTATTTCATTTGATATTTCTAATTAACCCAGATTCTTTTTCACAAAATTACAAAATACACAAAATGGTAGTCATGGACGGTAGATTAACCAATACAGTACTTTTCTTGTAATATTTTTTTCCTTTTCTCTCTGTGCTATAAAGTTACAATTGACGTATATAAAAATAAGTCATTACTAGAAGTGATAGCATTTAACGTTCATCTTTCTTTTTTTCCTTTTTTTTTAAATAATTCGTACAAATTTAATTTCAAAAGTTTCATTTTTGTCGTATAAAATTAATTGCGATAAAAAAAAAAGTTATGATACAATATAACATTTTCTCTTCCTCCAATCTCACCCAAAACAAAAGCATGCAAATGCGCTAACGATACTATTGAAATTACGGAGATGGTCTTTATGGCGTAAGTTTAAGCTAGGCGTCTGATTTTGTACTATTCTACAGCTGGATTACGCAGCCAACTAAATTACATCTTCTTTGCTCTTATTTAAAAATATTTTTTTTTGTTTCCATTCATTTTCAGTTTTCCAAATAGTAGAGCCTTCTTTTATATTATTAGAGATAGTGTTTGGTAACCATGACAACAAACTCTTCTAGTCTACAGTTTCTCCTATGACGCTAACTTTGTTATGAAATCATTTCAAATAACTTTCTCTCAGAGTGTTTTAGATTTTTTAAATTTCCTATCAGCTCTAGGAATTCACATCGAAAGATTTTTATCCTGTTTTCTATTTGTTCCTAAGCTGGCGATGGTATGTTTTTTGTGTTTGTGTATTGAAATGATTTTAGCTGTTAAAGGGATTCATGAATAGTTTATGATAATATGACTGTCGTGTAATTTTTAAGGTAAATTATTTTGGTATTTAAGTTTTTAGGCTCTACAATACGAACAAATATTAAATTAATATTTTTGTAGGACCAGAAGGAGTCAGACTTACGTTTCAAGGTATGTTTTTATTTCACATTTAAATTTGTTAAGTATTAAATCCATTTCAATCCAGTTGTCCTACAGCGACTGGAATTGTGAATAGTGGGATTGACCGTCACATTATAAAGCCTCCATGGCTGAAAGGGCGATCATAGTTGGTGGGATTCGAACCCGCGAATCTCAGATTGCGAGTCGAGCGCCCTAACCACCTGGGCGGGCCTAGTTTATTGTAAGTTGATCTTATTATATTGATACAACTAGCATAAAATACTCGTACTTCACTGTGGGGATTGAAGGCCCCCTCATAATTCACACAGTGAGGGTGAGTGAATAGCAGCACAAAATGTTGTGGGGTTAACTTTATCAGTGCAGCCAAAGTACCTATTCTCATGTGACACTTTTTTTTTTTCAAAACGAGGCACCAATAACTTATTAGGCGTCTAGTTTTATTATTATTATATACGTTTCTTTATTTTTATTTTTTGGAGTTTAAACTCCCCACATGTCAGTCATCACAGTACACGTTTAATTTTATATTAAACTATTCGTTTTTAGCTTTTAACTAAAACTAATTACAGTTACTTAAACGAAGTTATTTGACTGACTTCCTATCAATCTTAATTAGCTTCCCCTTCCTATGAAATCAAACGTTTCCCTCTCCCCTCAGAGCAACCAAAATATATAGTTACTGTCTGACTTTTTATGTATAGCTGTTCTTTCTTGCACCAATAGAATATTCATGCCACATTTTCAAAGTCACCCACAATATAATCTGAAAAATGAACGCGGTAAAAAAACAAAAAACGGCCTCTGCACTTCTTCCAGCCGGTCCTGTACAATCCTGATAACCCAACGTGCAAGAAACATTGACACGCCTGCTGATGCTGAATGATGACAACAAGACTAGGTCGGTTACTTATATAGCCGATAAAAATAAATAATTACTGGTTACAACATTTAAACCTATTATAGACAGATTGGGCCTACTGGAGACTCGGGGTGGGGGAAGACCATTGGTATCGTGAGGGTTCTCCCCATTACGGGAAGTTATGTTACGTCACTGAGTAACACAGTTTCAATCATGATGCTCAGGGATCCAGAGGGAAGCCAGAAAACACAAAATCTGATTACAGATTCGGGTTCGGCGAATTTGTAAACCTATTCCTAGACCCCCATCATGCTTACAGACCTTCCTGTCGCGTTTTATTCCCCCTTTGTCATATGCCATAAAGATAAGAACGCCCGGAATTCGCTGTAAAGTTTGGTCCTGCTAGCTCCAAAAGTGTGAGAGAAGTTTCCGAACAAACAAACAAATGCACAAACACACAACGTGAATTGATATAGAATTTCAAATTGATTTGTCATGTTCCCTTATAGAATTTCCGCGTGAGCGATTGGAAGCGTCGTTCCATAGCCAAGTTTGTTTTTAAACTTAACATTACTAATACAACTTGTCAAGTAACTAAAGTAATGTTTATTTTGAAAGAAGTAGCTTTATTTTTGGCATTAAATGCACTAAAATTCCTGTAAAATATCAACGATTTATGACGATTTAAACAGTTATTAATTTTATTTAATTACCTTAAAGTGATGTTGTGTGCTATCATCTTAATGATTATAAATGAATTAGTCTCTGATAATATTGGAACATAATCCATAAAGCGGTGTTGTGTGCTATCATCTTAATGATTATAAATGAATTAGTCCCTGCTAATGTCGGAACATAATCCATAAAGTGATGTTATGTGCTATCATCTTAATGATTATAAATGAATTAGACCCTGTAATGTCAGAACATAATCCAATTCAAAATGTTAAAGCGATTAAGAAATATTTTGTGTTCTACTATTAAAGTTCACCGTA